ATGCGTTTTCTTTGTGGGCTATTTATCCAAACAGGCGAGAAAGACAGCTACACTTAACATTGCCACAGTTCTGCAGGGGATTTTCTGCTGACACCATGATCTACTTCCTTTCTACGGTAGGACTTTTAGCCATTTCATTGTTATTGTTAACTTATCATCATCATCATCATCATAATCATCATCATCATCATCATCATCAAGGGCGGGAGGAACATACTGAGGTGCAATCAAGGAAGTAGTGATTCCCCCTTTTGTTTTAACTGATTTTCTTCTGCATTTCCCTGAAGTGTTCTCCTGGAGATGGTGATAAGATATCTTTCCCCTCAACAGACCCCTGTCTAGCTAACTTGCCTTCTCAAAAAGAGCTGATACAGATATAGCTTACACTTCCAAATTTTTCAGTTCATAATTAACAATTATTGGACGAGGTTGAAGAAAATATCGTTATTTGTCAGTGGTGAACAGATGAATAGACCATTTTACATTTACGAGCTTAGTGCCCTAGCCTCTGAGTAACTGTGAGGCTGAGGTTGACCTTTGTTTTGATACAAACCTCTTTTCTTTTGTTATGAAAATTATGCTAAAAATACTAGTTAGCAAAAGAACAACTTAGATTAACATAATAAAGGAGGAAGGGTTGTATCAAAACAAGGTCAACTCCAGCCTCGTTTCCACCTGTATTGTAACTGTAAAATGGACTGTTATTTGCTGAAAACCAAAGGCTGAGGCAAATAATTGATCTGCGAGACGCTGACAAATCATGATATTTTTCGATAACCAAGTTCAATAATATTGTTTTATCATTCAGTGACCAAGTTTGTTTTTTGATAAATATCTTCAGGAAGCAGTGCCATTTTCACGAAAGAGCGATCGCAAAAAGGACAAAAGGGTGGTTTCTTTCATGCATAAGCAGAATATTATGTGCAGCCAAACACAGTAGGATGACATAATTGCACATGAGCAGACCTTTATTTGTAGGCAGTTATTCGCAGGTCACGTGGTGGGCTGTCAGCCAATGCAAAGGGAGAAGATTTGCTTTGAATGATAATGTAAAATATTATGCATTTTCAAATCATAAATTTGTCTCAGTAAATGCCTTTAAAAAACAAAAAGGTTACTAAAATATAAGTGGCACTGGTGTTCTTTGTCTGGGAACATAGAATATTGAGCCTCTCTATGTGTACCAATGGATGTCGTTTTCATTGCACGGCCAATCACAAGCAGTTTTCCCAGATCTGGGTTATGACATGTCATCAGTAAGAAATTTCTGTTGTTGTTCCTCAGACGTCATTTCACAAGGAAACTAGTGGTGGGGTCACGTTTACAGCAAACAGCAAACATAAATTTGTATCACAATGACCTGCTTTACATGCTTGCTGTTCATTATTTCTACCCCACAATTAATAACTTCATGTTTGTCTTGTTTATAATAATTGTTTTTGGCTGTTTTGAGCTTGTCATTTTCTGTTTCGTGAAATTCTCAACTTGAATCTGATGTTTGCTGTTTGCCATAAACATCACTCAGTCTGTCTAAATAATATCATTATGAAATACCTTATTTTTTTAGTAAAAAAAAGGATATTGGGGATAATAATAATAATAATAAATACATTCTTATATGGCATATTTACAAAGCTCAATCTAGTAGGAAAACTGTGGAGGTCATTGTTTATTTTTCTCCATAACATGATTTTATGAGCAGACATTATCATGGGCTTTTCCAGTCCCTGCATTGGCACTCCTGGTGGTTTTGGGCAGGGTGGTGCCATGGGTGGCAGCAGTGCCAATATCAGTAGCAGGATTCTCATTCCCAGGATTCTCTTCTATAGTCAAACCCCACTTTACGGACACCCACTTAATATGGACATCTTGTTATTATGGACAGTTTGCTTTGTCCCCAGGGAAAAAAAGCTCTTACTTTTCTTTAAATTCAACCCGCATAATAAGGACACCCCATTAATACGGACACTTTCTGTGGCCCCTTTCTAGATCTGTCCGTATTAATGCTGTTTGACTGTACTCATCCCCCAAAGTGCAAGTAAAGTAAAGTAAAAGTAAAGTAAAACTTCATTTACACAGGGTAGCCCATTCAGCTCTAAGGCTGGTCTCCATAGGGCCCTGTATCTTAAAAAATTAATTTACATCAAGAGTGTTCATGAACTATTACATTTTAAAAGCCTAATAAAAATACAATACTAGAATTTAAGAACTACATTAAAAGTGGAATAATTGTGAATGTTCGAAAATCTAGTAAAATATAATGAAAAATAGCTAGGAACTAATGAAGACAGAGAAAAACGAGTTTAGCCTTGTGGTAAGAGCGTCTGTTGGAAAGAGTCATGCAAGGGAGAGATGGTCTCTCTCTCTCTCTCACACACACACACACTCCAGGGGATGATTGAGAGAGAACCAGAGAATTCTAGAAATTAAGAGTATGTAGCAGCAGCAGTATAGTAGTAGTGACAGCAATACAGTTAGAAGAGTAGAAGCAGGGGCAGCAGTAGTCATGCTTCTGGTATCATTAGCAGCAGCAGCAGTAGTAGCAGTAGTACCCAGTAGCAACAGAAATACGTTGTGTAGCAGTGCAGTAGGAGGAAGAGCAGCCACAGCAGCAGAAGCAACAGTAGTATAGTAGTTGTCATCGTTTTGGGTTTGTCGTTTTTTAATGCGATTTTAGGCAACTTTTAGAGTGTTTTGTTTTAGTAGTGATATTCTTGCCTTGATTTGCAGTTGCAGGACATAGCAATATCACCAAATATTCCTGATCCAAGTCTGAACACAGTAGAGTGTGTTACCATGGGTCAAGGAAAAGCTCCACCTTTTCCTGATTGGAAGAACCTGCTTCATGGAGTGTGCTGGTGTATTCTTTGCATAAGTTTGGTATTCAGTCAAGTTGCTTCACAGTGGCTTATAGTGCAGCTAAGAGAATGGAAGAATAGCAGCAGAGTTGAAGCAGAAAAAAGGAAAAATGACAGCCAAGTAGCTGCTGTAATGTTGTTATCTATAGTGGTTTTTATTACCGGACTTTCCTTGATTTTTTTCGCCTGGAGTCGTTCCTCTTTTGAGCAAGATTATTACATGTGGACATTCTTCATATCTGCGATGCTTGTACTTGCGCGGAGGGCACTTTGGTGTTTCTGGCGTATCTATAAAAGCGATAATATTGATCTATACAAGTTGAGCTTAACTAAGGGCCATGAGAGCGACCCAAGCGGAAATGTTATTTCCTTCTTCACACTTTACCCAGCAATATTCATGGTTTGCCATCATTTGTTGTGGATATTGCTGGGCGTCATAACAGAACCATTTTGGGGTATTTCAGTTTTAGTGGCTGTTATTTCTGTGTCTGCTATTCTCGTTTTCTTTTCTTATGATTTCTACGAATATTATCTTTCCCATGAATGTAATGACCGCCAGTGTGAAAGATGTTCTGCACGTAGAGACTGGCGACGTGAGTACTGGTTTCCGTTTTTTATGTCGCTATTTCTTGTTCTAGGAAGTTGCGCTGCATCTATACTGTTAATAATTGTTCTGTTAGTAGTTGCACAGTCGTTCCTTAGTGAGAGCCTTGTTTCCACGTTAGTTCAAAATGGTTTGGTTTTTTTCTCAACTTTATGGCTTGGATATCTGAAGCTACATCAAGCAAAGAAACCAGCAGAAACCAGGAACGGTGGTAATGGAGGAAATTTGAACCAGTCCGGTCAACCCAATGGTTATGAACTTGTAGAGATTCAAGTGCAATAGAGACCTTAAACGGCAAACCACGGTTTGCGGTTAGCAGCTTCACGATAGCCGTTTGCCTAGATTCGCGGGCGGTAGCTCGCGGCAGCCTTTTTTTGTTTTCATTCATTTGGTGCCTTCTCGATGCCTTCTATTTTAGCTGAGAAATTACGTTCAGATGTAAAAAGATCAATAAGTAATGAGAAAAAGAGTTCTAAAACGTAGTGTATCCTCTTAAACTTGAACTTGTAATTTTTTAGGGGGCAAAAAAACCTTGCGCGCGGGGAAATCACTTACCTCTAGAGCGTGGTATAGCTGTACAAACGTGAACCTCAAGTCTACCTAGGTGGTGCTGATGGGGGGGTAATCCGGATTTCAAGTGACGGGGATGGTCGAATGAGGGCAAAAATCAAATCCCCAAAAAATCCTATGCCAAGTTTCCCAACTTAAATCAATCAAGCCGCCCGAAAAAATACTTGCACAAAATGCACAAATACCCATACAAAATGCTCCAGCAGAGTTATGAACATATGAAACAAATTTCAACAGCGTGCATTGACGTTTAAATTTGTTAATGATTTTTGCAGCCATCGCATTAAAACTTTGAAAAGTTGGCCCAATTTTTTCAAGTTTTAATCCATGTCCATCCCCCATTGCCACATGTAGCAATAAACGACGGGAAAACAGTTTTAAAAATGGATTTCATAGCACGTTTTAGATTTTACATAATTTGACACAGCCCCTTCTAGTAATTGCAAACTGATTTAATGTGTTGTTCAACTATTTTAAGACTCGCAACCGAAACTCAAACTCAGTTCCCTAACCTAGTGAGTGTTCCTCAGTTAAGTGCATCCGTATGCCATTAAGCTTATACAGTTAAGCCGCGGCGTGTATAGCCACCCCGTTAATGCGGCCCATATAAATCGAGGTGGCAACAAAGGAGTGTAAAAAACCTAAAGACCTAAAACCCAAAACGAAGTCCCCCCTCGAAATAATTTGAAATAGCTCCACACCACTATGAAAGAAACCCATGATCTTTCATTATCAATGAATTTGACTAGGCTTTTCGCTTTCTACAAAACACCCTCCTCCCATATCACTTGGAAGCAGTGTCACGATAGGTTTTAGCGTATTGGGTGCGCGCGAGAACAATCTCGGAGCTTTGCGAGAAAGTTAGATCCTTTATTATATTTTAAGTGAAAGGGCAGTGGCGTATCCAAGGAAGGGGCCGCCCCCTATCTTTAGACCAAACTGAGGCCCAAAGGAAAAAAAATTTTTTGAGACCTGGCGCCCGCCTTATCTCAGGGTCTGGATGACCGCCCCTCCCCCACCCCCCTACCTGAAGGTCTGAACAGTAAAGTTATTGTATGATTGTTGTAAATCTGTGTTCTTGTTTAAATGAAATGTTCTTGAGTGTTTTTTAAACAGCTGGCTATATGTTAGAAGCCGCTTTTAGAGCGAAACAAATATTCAAAGGAGAAATTTAGGTAGATCGATAACGAAAGAGTCTTGTTGAGCCATTAGTCTATTGTATTTTCCACGATTATGAAACTATATCTAATAATACGGGATGTTTTTGAAGGTTTCGTTATTCTTGGACGTTTGGTTATATAAAACCTAACCTTGTGTTTTAATCGCTAAATGCGCGTGTGGTAGAAACATGTGTGATCAGATTACGTTCATACATTTCTTTCATTTTTAGTGGAAGTCCAAACGAATGCTGGTTATATGCGTGCCAAGAATGCGAAATAACAATTTAAAGATTATGATTACACTGGGGCCAGTCTCTCGCTTTTCCTTTAAAATAAATATGCATTGTGCAAAACACGCTAGCGGTGAAACACGCGAAAAGAGAGTGGCCAAAAAGAAAAGGGAAAACCTAGAGCATGCTCGTAGTCTAGCTCTATATCTGATAGTAGAAGTAGCTGTAGAATAAACACAACTGTAGAAAATGGAAGACTGAGTTTTATTGAGCGTCGTGAATTGATTAACCTGCTAATACAGCCGTCTTTCCTCGCTCCTCTCCGCTAGCCCGCCGTGCCCGCTAGACACGTTTCGTGGTAGAGACGTCCTCAATACAAACGTCTGCGTGTCGACTCCAAAAATTCCATACTGATGACGTAAATCAACGTTTGCATAACTAATCTGGTAGTCATGTACGTAAATGTCATTAAGTTTATGGTCTTTTATCGCAAAATTGTTGCGCGGCAGCAAAACTCAAATGCTTCTCGTGTGTAAAGATTTTAAAAATTCCAAGAATCATGACTGTCTTTTGTAGATTCGTGGCGCTTACATCTGATTCTCTGTGACCATTTGTCTTGCGAATGCCATTCTAAAACAATTGCTAAAAGAATAAATTTACTACTTCGACCAATCAGCGCTCGTTGACCAGATTGCTGACAAAGTTACGTTATCTGTATGGAATTTTGGGGGGCGAATCGCAAACGTCTCTCCCGCGAAACGTCCTTAGCGGCCAGGAGAGACGGCTGACAGTGTATTCGCAACAGGCTATGAATTGATTTGATCCCCATAGAGGTTCTATCGACAGAGAGAACATTCATAATTGTTTTCTCGACACTGGAGAAACTTACATATACTCTAGCTAAGTACAAAATAACTGAAAAATTAAGATAAAAGTCGGTTTTAAGCGAATTGTCCAGTTTCTCGTTCCTCTTATGACTTGGAGAATATCGAGACATGGTCAGCTGAAAACCAAATGTTCATCAATACCGAGAAGACGAAGGCGTTATTTGGAAAAAGGATACAACATAAGCTTACTGAAGAAACAGCAAGCTTACAACTACGCCATGACGCTACAAATATCGACCAATTATCGCATCACAAGTTACTGGGTTTAATCATTGATAAGCACGCATAGATGAATAATGTAAGAAACTGTCAAAACGACATGGACCTTTTTAGGCATATTAGTCCTTATCTCAAGCAAAGGCACAAGTTAATTTTCTTTATATTCTAATTCGCTACCCCGCTCAAATGAATATAAAACATTTATCATGTAACAAGCAACCTCAATTGGGGTGTGTCAAATCGAGCCGTGCGCGACCCTCATTATTATGCCTTGATCAACAAAATAGATGGAAATAATACAACAAACAGAATGAAAACTCAACAATGTAAAAAATTACAGCAAGAAAAACAACCCTACAAAATGATCTAAACTATGCTCGTATAACAATGATTCAGTAAACATACAAAACGTACTAAACCTTTCATATAGCAGCATGCAAAAAACTACGTCTAAGAGAAACCCCTGGTCACTGGGTATTTAATTTTCAGGGCGTAGGGACGGTCATAAGACGCGAATGAATATAAATGAGAACAACTCAAATATATATAGCCTACCGCTAATGAAGCAATAGAACAGCATACCATGTTACACTCCAAAGAAAAGGTTACATAACCCATGATAAATACATTTATATTCTAATTCTCTACCCCGCTCAAACGAATATAAAACATTTATGTAACAGGCAACCTCAACTGGGGTGTGTCAACACGAGCCGTGTGCAAACTAAAAGAACAGGAAATACGGAAAATTAAATACCCAGTGATAAAGAAACCGACAACAATGAATGAACATTATCCTTAATGTAGCCGTCTTTTGCCTTGTCTGATTTCCAACGGCCGTGTCTTTTAAACAATCTGTCAGGCACTCGAGCATTAGCAGCAGCGGAGGCACCTCCAGCCCTAAGGCTATGGAGACCGTAGTCTTGCCCGGGAAGGCCGATGGAATCGAAAGCGCTAAGCACTATCTCCCGCGCTCTAGTATAAGACAAAGGAACAGACCCGCGCATTTTATAAGCTCCGGTATCGCGAAGGAAAACAAGAGTGCGAAAAATGAACTCTTCGCTGTCTGCTGAAAAAGAAGCGGCCACAAAATATCGTTGAACTAATAAATAAGGACATGATATGTATGCTTGAAAGTTTTAGCGATAACAACCCAAGCCCTATCACTGTAAACGTCAGTCTTACTTCGATGAACGCTGCATAACCTAAAACGCACAAAGTAAGCACTCGTAAATCAGACAAACTAGCTGAAGACGATCCATACTTAGCAAATAAAAGCTGAATAACCTCAGGGGTCACAGGCTCTTTCTTTTTAACAGGGATACTAAGAAGCCTCTTAGCAGATTCTATTAAAGGTAAGACTAACGAGGAATTACAGGGGTCGGGTAGAGCTGCCAAATCATGCACCCACTTGAGCCCATAATGCACTTCGTCAATAGTACTGCAAGAAGCAGATTCTTGAATCAAGCTAAGAAAAAACAATGAAATGTGTACAATAGAAGCGGGAAATATTACAATTTCTTTAAACTGAGAAGCCCATTTTCTCCAAGTATCGAAGCCCTTTTCGTACTTCCTCGCGGTACTGTCGGCTTTGGATTTAAGAAGAACTGCGGGGAGATCTTGAACCGGTGCCCGGAGTCGCCTGTCTTCAACCTGTTGAAAATTAGGCTGCTAGGCATCTTTGAGAACTTCTACGAGGATAAGAACAAAAATACATGCCAAAATTCTTCCTTACACGCACCGGGAATCAATACAGCAATAAAAAATGGACGCTTGATAATGCCGCTTACGGGATGCAAAACTATTTAAGGCCATATGGGCCAACTTAAAAACAAAGGTAAACAAGCCACTCGGCGAGCTAGTTTCATGCGAAACAAGAACAAAAGAACTGAGGAGCGGAACAAAAAACACGTGGGCCAACATAAAGCCACTTGGCTTGAAGGAACTAGGGCCCCTTAGCGCCAATTCTGACTGCCAGGACCGTGCTGTTATAAACCTGTCTGAACCATTGAGTGAATATTTGTAACTCCCGAGGGCAAAAATCCCTGAGGGGTCGGGAAAATGAATGTACGCAAGGACGTACGGTTGGAATTGAATTGCATTTGCGAACAAGAAAGGCCAAAAAACATTAGACGGCCAATAAGGGACGACTAAAGTACCAACCGCACCGCATACAAGGAGATGCTGAACCGCCCTAGTAATGCAGTGGACGGGAGGGACTAGCCCATTATTCGTTGGTACATAGAAAAGCAAGGGTATATGACTTACCCCAATCAATCGAGTCAAAGTCACAAAAGTTGCAGTCTGTCAGCCATTTTTCCTGACTTTCACGAGGGATAGAGGCGGTTTGAGTTAGAAATGATTTGTAAGCTAATTTACAGAAAGCCTCGGAGAATAATAGGCTTTTGGTGTCGGTTTTAGCACCTTCCATTTGTGGACAATGGTTTTTACGTTTTATATTCGAGATGGCACATATCACGCCGTGGTACTGTAGAAAGTGAGCTTTTATCGCAGACTTTTCCTTGAAAGTATAAAAAGTTAAAAATTGTGAATCCTCTTCGAAAAGGTCATTTACGAGGTAAATACCTGCCGAGGACCAGTTACGATAATGGATAGGCTTGTTGTCAAAACGTATGAGAGAGTTGTACTAAATTGGTGTTTCGCCGAAGTTGGAAAGTTGTTTTTAAAAATTCAGAAGTCAGAGAGGAAATGATTATGAAGCCCGATATTAAAACGGGAATCCCAACTACGGCGGGATTTTATGACCTTGTAAAGAAAACTGGTTTTGAGACGAGTCATCAGGTTGCCCAAAACTGGCGACATGGACATAACATGACCTGCGATGACGGCACAATCCCGAGCCGTAACATAAGGTGCAGATAGAAGAAATTTGTCAATCACAGCGATAAATTTGGAAATACGTCTATCGGTAATAGAAATGGTACAAGTCCCAGTTTAGACCCAACCAAACAAGCGGCTGAGTGGGGTTCCATAGTGATTTGGCGGAGTTGGCAACAAACCCAGCACTGCTTAAGGATGATTGCACAAACAATGAATTTTCCTTGGCCATAGGCAGTGAATCCCCTTTCCCGCACCCATCGTTGAGGAACACAACAATTTTAATCCCGTTAAACCTCCAAAACTTAACGAGTGGTTTAAGACACTTGGTGAAGCCGTGTGGGGCTGAGCTAAGACCGAACGGAAGTGATGCAAAACAAAAATACCGAACGGTACCAGAAAAAACCCAGGAGAAACCCAGGAAAGTTTGGTGATCCGGAAAAATATCGATATGGTGATATCCAGACTTGAGATCGAAACTGAAAAGGTAATCGCTCTTATTCACATATGATAATAAAACTATCCAATCTTCACACCTAAACTTCTGTTTCCAAATGAAATGATTGACATGACGTAAGTCCAGAATAAGCCTCTTCTTGTCTGAAGACTGTATCGAGACAGAGAGCGGATTAACGACATGTGGAATAAAGGGCACCTCAACGACGGCGTGAGTGTGGACTAATTCAGCGATAGCCGACTCGACGAAAGACGCATTATTAAGAGCTGACTGAATGTTAGAAAAACGCGCCTGACAAGGTGTGCTAATGAATGGGATCCGATAACCGAATTTAATAGTATCGATAACAAAACTATTGGCACCAATAGTGTGCTAATAACTTAAACAGGACCTAAGTCTACTCTTAAGTACTGGCAATGCAGAATTCTGTTTAAATTCAAATAGATTGCGATCATAATCGAAATCGACTAATGAACTAGAATCCCTTTCCCTGAAATAGTCCAAATAGGAAGGATACATGTCTAATAAATTGAGTAAAGCTAATATCTAACCTTGGAGAACAAGTTTTCAATTCTGTGGTCCTATTTACCTCCAATGCCCGAGAGACCAGAAGAACTAGGAAAGGACGGCCCGGAGCTTGAAGATCTGGCTTGAGGATTAACTTGACACTGAGACCTCCAATGACCTTGCTCAGGGCCGCAGGCGAAACAAATATCACTGGGTCTTGGTTTCCTGAAAGCGCCAAAAGTACGAGAAATAGGTCTGGAGGGTGATGAATGTTGGCCAGCAAACGCGGTGGTTGCGGTAGATGATTGTAAATAACCTTGCTCGGATGGCTTCGCTTTCTGTTGGCGTTGGCTGCGTTTACGAAGGGCCCTCTGCTTGCCACGGCGGATACGCTTTTCGTTCTCTGACCCGATAGCCAGCTCGTCAGATAAATACTCGTTCACCAAATCCCAACCGGCGGCGGACTTGTCTGCCAGTCTGATAAGTTTGTTGCGCTTCTTGATGTCAGAGTCTAGTTCTTCCAGGTGAGTTTTAACAAGGTCTAATTTTCTCTTCCCGAGAGCAACTGACGCCGACTTGAAACTGTTCTTATTACCTTCGAATCTAAACGTGATCTTGGATTCTTCTTTGAGCTTTTTGGCTACAGAATCGGTATTACTGCTCGACTCGTCTTGAATATCGCGCTTAAAGGCGCCCAACCTCTTGTCGAAATAATCCTTAAATAGAGAGAACGCGGACGCTTTATCACTGGATTCTGAAGACTGGATTGGTACTGAAGCTTCGAGAGATTGAGACAAGATATAAGGTTGTTTAGGATGCGAAGGCAACAAAACGTCGTTGCTAGGAAAATCTGTGTTCGCTGAAGTAACGTGTTAAACATCAGACTTAATTTTGAGGGCGTAGGAGGAAGGGTCGTAAGATGCGAATGAATATAAATGAGAACAACTCAAATATATATAGCTCTTCTCAAATCACTCACTCTGCACAATTCTTGATGTTACATCCAATAATTATGTAATTGATGCCTTTTTGATGCGTTGGGCATGATTGTGACTCTGAGTGTGATTGTTATGCACTCTTTTGTGCATAGTATACAACAGTAAACAGCAAGTTGATGACATGTGCTATAATTTGTATAATAAATAATATAATTGTATCTAACTCCTGTTTTTGGCAAACATTTCAAGGAGTTAAGCAGCCCTTATTCATTGACCATGAAAACTGCCTAAATGCAAGCATAAACATGAAAAATCAGAAATTTTTCTTTTAAAGTGCTTATTCTTGTGTTTAGGATGTCATTGTGCGTTTGTTTAAGTCTTCATTTAACACATGGCTCGTGCTTACGTCGCAATAAAAAAAAAGGTTTTACGGTTTGGAAATCTTGTAGCAACCTGACATTTTCCACATTCTCTGATGCTTTTATGCCCTTTAAGCCCTGAAAGTGATGAACATCTTCTTTCTCCTCATATCATTCACTATTTTGTCTTAGGTCCTGAGAAGATAATATAGGAAATGATCAACAAATAAAAATGTATTGATTTTTTAACAAAGTGTCTTTTTTTACCATGAGAAGTGCCAAGAGAAAAGTGCAGAGAATCAGCATGTTGATATAAGGGCTAAGAGGGTATTTCCTCTTTGGGGGTGTTGACATGACAATCAGGCGACTTTCGCGCACGCGAGTTCACTCCGGTTCCCCCTCTCATGGTGAAAGCTCTGATCAGTAACAGTAAAGAGTTAATTTCAGATGGAATGCCTGATCATGGAAGAGATAGCTTTGGATGCAGTTAGTCCCCCTGATGCCTCCTCCTTTGTTAGATCCATCCCTGCTTTTTTTGTTCAAAAATGCTTGAATATTGATAAAAGAAAATCCAAGCCAAAATCCTTAAATTCACTGCCCCTGAATGATGATACATCGGCCATCCGATATCCAAATTTTCCGAAAAAACAATCGCTTGATGACTCACTTCTTTGAAAATTTCCGCGGTATATCGACCGCCAGCATTGTTTTGTATTGGCCACTGGCTTTTATAGACAGCGTCTTCGGTCCTTGTCGGCACCTGACTCATTTGTAGGCCTGCCTCTCTCCCCCTCCCAAACCCATCCCACGCTCATTGATAATGCCAGTTAGTAAAAACAGTATGCATAAACAATCTGGTAAGTAACCGGGGTGTAACCCGCCGCCCCCCTTTGAAAAATCCTAGCCATACCCATGACCGAGTGGAAGATGCCTTGTATTCCCAGGATTGGATTGTCCTCTTTACTCCACTGCCGCAAAACAAGGCACGCAAAAAAATCTTTTAAAGGAGTTAATGTGCTGCGGAAGCCCGTCACCTAGGCGTATCCATCACTACACACAACACATTAAACTTCGCCTATTTTTAGATTTCTTTCTCCGCGAAGTTCGCTGTGTTCACAAACGTCCGCACAATGGCGGATGATCACTGAAGTGGCTGGGAGTGTTTCTTGGGGTTTTATTGGTGAAACGGTACAATTTCTGCAACGTGTTAAGCCAGTGACAAACACTTCGATAAGTTGTTTTGAAAACTAGAGTGAAATTTGTGAATTTGCCCTATTAAATCTGCGCTTCTTTCATCGTGACCTTTTTTTGTCAAGTATCCTACTCTTAATTATCCTTCCCCTTGAGTACTTGTGAAGGAATTGAAACGATTAAGTTTGTAAGGCAAATAAACGTCAGCCACTTCAAAACGCTCATTTAGTGAAAAACAGCACAGGGTGTTAACGATGCAATTTATTGAAAAGTAATTTTAAGGCTATTGTTATTATAATTACCACGAAAGCAATTAAGGGAGGTGGTTAAGGGAGGTGGTATGCCCTCCCCATAAACTCCATTTGTAGCCTTTTATGCCCGTTTACAGCTATTTCGACAAAAGGTTGTCGGAAAAAGTGCACGCGACAATCCCCAAAGTATTGTGGGTGGTTTTGAGTTCACTGTTCCTCAAAGAAATTTCAAAGAATGAAACGAGAGACCATGGACGTATGTTTGAGAGTGCTAAAGGAAAGCAGCAATAGCAGGTTCGACAGTTACAATGTCAGGAACAGTGTATTGATCATATCCCATATTACCTTTCGGGATTGTCGCGAGCACATTTTTCCGGCCACCTTCCTCGAAATAGCTGTATACACAGACCGTTCTCAGTACATTTCCTTACAAGCTCTTGGAGAAGCAGTTGAAATAATTTGACAAACGATCAAGGTTTCTTCTGTCAGGTGACAATTTTGATGATTCTCATAACGTTTTCTCGCATTATCTCTTGATATTGTTAAAAGAAAACTTATGTTGGTCACTTTGAGAATTAAGGGGTAACTAAGACCACCTTGCTTCGGTTATTTTAGACCAGTTATTCATCGTCCTTGATGGTCGCATGACGAGCTTCCACAATAATATGTGTAATGTTTCCAACATATTCATGCATGCAAACATACACAGGGCTAAGAGAAGCTTAAATTACTACGCGGGCAAAAACATTGGCGGAAAATATTTTCAAGAAACCGAACGAAGCGGCCGGAGCCTGAAATCTACCGACAAAGCCAAATCCTTTTTTGTCTGGAAAGTCTTTCGATCCTGCAATCGGAGTGTACCAATTGCGCCAAACAAATGGAATTTTCGCAAGACAACTAACGTATCTCTCATTTCTCCATTCCAAACAAAGCTAAAAGAAGCTCACCCGAAGCCTCCTTCATCATTTTGTCTCTCCGCGCATGAGCTGCTCTGGTCACGGTACAGCAAATTCAAATTCACGACTCGGTGGAATAAGCACTTACAATTACTGCCACTGGGGACGTTTCATTTCTACCTTTTCTTTTAATTCTGTAACTAGTGGATGCTTCTCCGCTGTCATTACTTTAGGCAGCTAAAGAGTAAAAGATTTGTCCTGTCTAGCCAGATCTTTATAAATCGCACTACGTCAAATACGCCCAGCAAATTAAACTCCTCTTCGCCTCCTGTGACATAATATACTGACACACCAAACTAAATACTACTACGTGCTCGCAGAAATCAGAATTAGATAGATATCGAAATTAATGTACTCTATTAAGCCTATTATGTTTTGCATTTGCTTATTTACTCTCCTATTACACTAACAAAAAGTCAGTTCCTTTTTAAAATTAGCCTTTATCAGGGGCACCCAACGACAATTTTCGGAAAAATATCTGTTCGGAAGACGATTTGAGATCTAGAATTTTCGAAACATTTGTTGTAAAATTTCTTGCTTGCCTACCTCTCCTAGGATTTTCAAACATCTAAAAAATGGTAAAATTGCCCATTTTCAGCGGATTTTTACCCTAAAAAGGTCACCTAAAATTTTCGGGAGCCTTTTTTCTGGCTGAAATTTTCGAACGGGTAAGTTTTGATCCCTATAATTTTCGGATCACTAGACTTTCAGCTAGGAAATCCGAACAGATGAAAAATTTATAGGGGATAAAAATATGCCCATATCCACTGTTTAAATACTAAAACACGTTTAACAATGCTATGTTAAAGTGGTTTTGAACTATATTCTCGTTGGGTGCCCCTGCTTTATTACTATTGTTAATAAGCAATAAAATTATCTAAGACCTATAAGTCTAACAATACTAATTTCAACTGTCCCAGAGGGAATCAGATATTCACTCATATCCTACCCCTGCACGTAATTCGCTGTGCTCTATAGGCTATTATCAGTTCTCCTATTTACTTTCCTACTGCAAACTACGAAATTTTCTGGGACAATTTTTTTCCACTTTTTTTGTTCCTTTGGTAATAGACGGAAGTAGGAACAGTTACTTCAAAAAGCGTTTGCTCTTTGAGATTTACGGGGGAATGATTATTACAATAAATAAATAAAAACATACGATTACATCGTATATACATGAATCGTTAAAAAAAGTACGTAATTATTAAAACTAACTTCAAGTGACACTGCCACGTCGAATAAGACGTTAACTCTTGCATAAAATGACTAAAATTTTGGACTTCTGAGAAGTCATTGAGAAACAAATCAAAAATATTTAAAATGTGCATTTTTGATTAACCGAAAAAAATATTTTAATTTATGCACGCATAACACAAAGTATACACAAAGTCCCCAGAATTGCCCGCAAACACGCAAGTACTCTCTGTATTCCTAAAGTAATGGTAATCCCTAAATAAGCCTTTCATATTTGAACGCTACTACATACAACAAAACAAAAATTCTATAACCTTTAGGTCTCTCATATTTATTTTAACTGTCTCGGACAGACTGATAAAACAATAGAGAGAGAGACTTATAATCACATTTACAGCATAGTTAATAGAGTGGAATGGTTATGAAACCCGTCAGACTCCTTTGTTATATGTTTTTGTGGACCTGAAAGTGCACAACGTTCAAAAGAATTCCTATCGTTTTGATTGTATTGACCAATAAAAACGTTGCATTAATTTATTCTCTAACAATTTGCCAAGAGAAAACAAAGGATTGTGCACTTTCACGGTGCTTTGAACATAAACTGCAGCACTGTTGTTTTTATCATTGATGTTTGCCGCTTTTCATAACCAGTCTCCTCTAATAACTATGTTTACAGCGAACGCGGATTCGAGTTGAAAATTTCCCTTATTACGAAAGGAGCACAAAACAACTGTCCCGAATAATTCTTATAAAAGAAACTGGCGTGAAACTACTTATTTTTGTTTAGATATAACGAACACTAAACGACGAAGCCCCAGAGAGCAACGAAAATCGAGCCTGCTCTACTCTATTCCTAATACTTTCATTGTTCTGGCAACGGTCAGAAACAT